TTTAGAAAAAATATATATATATAACAATTTTACAATGTAATTATATGATTTTTGTCAATTGTGACACTTGTTAAAATGTTACAAACTTTTTTTCATCAATAATTATATTTATGATGAAATGAATGAATGAAAAAAAAAAAAAAATAATATAGTTTTTTTGGACCATTAAATGTTATCACAATATTAATTATTTTAATGATAATTAAAATTTGTGACCATTTTGTTCTATTTTTATTTAATTTATTTCTTTCAACTGAATGTCTGTTAAAGATTTATGATAAATAAAAAAACAAATGTATAATATAACTTTGATCATTTTGTAAATCATTTTGTAACTACTATTACATAGATGCATTAATTGTTACATACTAGTAAATAAAAGTAGATGGGGGTTTGACAGTGTAGACTTTTGGCTCGGTGACAGTGAACAAGATAAAAAGGGAGGATAAAATGTTTCTACGAATTTGCTCTCTCTCTCTCTCTCTCTCTCTCTCTCTCTCTAATCTTTCTTCTTTGAACTTACATTTACACAGTGCATACACACACACACAAACACACACGTTCACATATATACACGTGAATAACGCATAGGGAAAAGACCATTACTATTCCTATTTTATTTGGCACGTATAACAGGAAATTTAGGTGTGTGATACAATAGGTGGTGGGATGAAGAGGAAAAAAAAAGAGAGAGAAGAGGGAGAGAGAAAAAGAGAGAGAAAACGTATTTCGAGCGAGTAAACGAGATCTTCGATGCATTCACGTGTAGGAAACAGTTGTATGTGCGAGTAAGCGAGACAGACAGATAGGACATGCATAAAAAAAGAGAGAGAGAGAGAGAGAGAGAAAGAAAGATAGAAATGAAATTTGCTCAATGTCCTTAAAGATTAGATTTTTAGATGACAGAAAAGAAATATCGTTCGAACGTTGAGGATATAAATACCAAATTTTGATTATTTTTTTTCTTTCTAATAATTTAATCATTTTTTTTTTCTTTTTTTTTTCTCTCTCTCTCACTTACCCTCTTTCTCTCTCTCTCATTTTTCCTTTTCATCGTTTTACCTTATTTTTCTCTTTTTGTTTTTTTTTTTTTGTTTGTTTTCATCAATTTTGTTCTTCAATTTTGTTCTCTCAATTCAAGTACAATTTTAGCGATGACTAATTATCGCGAAGAGGTAAAATTGAAGGAGTAGTTGTTAACGAGAACTAACCTCGTCTCGATTCAAAGGCAAACCACGTAAAGATGTGTGTATTTAATGTATGCATGTGTGTATGTAAAAGAGGATGATGAAGAGAAACGTGTGCTACCAGGCATCGAAATAATTTTGGTTAGGCTCGAGTGACTCAAGTTCGAGGGCAATTCGCATATGGATTTTCTCAGTGAGTAGTACTCATTATGATCAACGTGTTATGATGTTGCCGCCATGTAATTGGCCAAAAGGATTTGAACAATTTTTCTGCTAAAGAAATTTCTTTATTTCTTTCTTTCTTTCTTTCTTTCTTTCTTTTTGTCTTTCTTCCTCCGTGTACTCGTATTTATCAAACGCGAGTAATGTTTTATTTAAAGAACTCAAGAGGGTTGCTGCTTGATCCTCTTTTTCTTTTTCTCTTTTTTTGCTTCTTCTGCTTCTTCTGGTAACAGTATTTTTATTTACGTATATATGCATGCACATACGTAATACCGTTCAATTACATAAACACGTGCGAAGAAGTAGAACTGTCTATCAGTTTGTTCGAGCACTCTTCTCATTACTTTTGCATCTTTCTATCACGATTTTACATACACAATACGATTTTATAAATCGTCTCTAACGAGTTTGAGAATGTATAAATGATTAGTTATGTTGGAGTAAGGTATTTTTGAAAAAATAGTAATTTTTAATCTTCTGTCTTACTCTATTTTGTTTTTTTGTAGATACAACATCGAAATTTGTGTTTTGTAATATTAATGATAATAGTATAAAATTTACTATACTAATATTATATATTATAATATTATTAATAGTATAATAAACGATAAAAAATATTATATTACTATAGTAAATATATAAATTATTTAATATTTATTTAAACAAATATTATTATTAATAATAATAAATGTATCTTTTTTTTCAGGAAGAATACTGGCAGACAATATATTAAGAAAAGACGAAAAAAGACGTAGGACTGAGGATGGACAAAGTCCTTTCGTTGAGTGCAAGTGAGTTAATAATATTTAGACAAAAAATATGTACTTTAAAAGATAAAACTTTCAAAAGAACCTACAACAACCACCACCATCCCTTTCTTTCCTTTTCTTTATGCTTCTTCGTTACAGGCATGCACAACACACTACGCAAGTTGTATACAGCAGCTTTTACTTAGTTCTGGGTTGATGGCACCAAATACTGTGCCGGACGCGTCTTTGCTCTTGCAACGTTCTGAAAAACTTTTGTGATCGTTAGCTTTCATCTTCTGTGCATGCCTGTAAGCATGGTTCTTCTCTGTCGCGCATTTATCACTACCACTATACTAAAACCATCACACATTTATTTATTTCACGTTTCAACGCTTCACTTTTCATTCTTTCTTTTTTGCCGTTGGTGGTTGTTTCTAAAATTGTCTAGTATTTTACACCGAGATATTTTAATGGAAACACCTTTACATTTTCTATTGTTCATCTATTTTTTAAATTTTATCTTCATATATCTCTTTTGATATTTATATGCGTTTCCATTTAAATGTTTCATTTAATTTCAATATAAACGTTTTAACCATAGTAACAACTATTTATTACGAATGAATGATCTTATGCAATTCTAAACATTTGTTTACAACCAAGAATAATTTATTCTTAAATATGTAATTTAAAATTAAAAAAAAAAGAAAAAAAGAAAAATTGATATAATTAATAAGAAATATTTATATGATTTTACCAGCAATCTTCGACTTCGTCCACGGTTCCTATCAAATTTGGAGAGTGTCGACTATTTTAGATCGAGCGACCTCACCAGTCGACTTTTGGCCCAGAGAAACTACGAGCACGATCGATTGATCTCGCAGGTAAGCTGTTATATATTGGCTGCTGGTGTTAGTAGGCAATTGGTTCCTTTGAACTACGTTTCGTGCAAGCAAGCAAGTAAGCAAGCAAGCAAGCAAACTAGCAAGCAAGCAAGCAAGCAATCAAGCAAGCAGTAAGTGTGAACGTGTAAGAGCTTCGTTAACGAACCCTCTCCTTTGTCCACACGCACCATCATCATCATCATCATTATCATCATCATCACCATCATCCTACAACCGAGCTTAGTAATTTAATGTTGGACGACACTGTTGGACCAAGTGTAAGCCAATTAACAAGCAATCACTTACGTTTTGTAGAAATGTATACTACCAACCGTAGTTTTTATTTTTCTATCCAATTGTCCAATTAGAAAGTAATCTTGTCATTTATGTTCCTTTTTTTCCTTACAATGGAAAATAAATTACTAATTGATTAGAAAATTGTTGTCCACTTGGTGAAAGTTTGTTTAGAAATTGGCCACTTTCCAAAAGCAAGTAGTCTAATTACTAATTATTCTTCTGTTACCTCATCAAAGAGACATTTATAACGTCCATTAGACAACAGAAATTAACTCTTATTTATCTCTTGAACCTTACGATCATTATCATCATCATCGTCGTCGTCATCATCATCATTAAAAAGATATCTATGCAAAGTATACTAAAAACTTAACATTTCTCGTATGATGAGACATCTAAAAGTACATATGTATATATATATATATACTTATGAATCATGTCTGTCATTATCTCATTCAGCTTGACGCGACAGATATGATCTATGTAAAAAGAGATATCACTTATTTCTGGAATTATGTTGATAATCGTTTTTTTATCAGCCAGTCATTAATACATTCTTATAGTTAGATTATTTCCTTCGAACAGTTGCGTTATCAGATGTCTTCAGATTTTTTTCCTATTTTTTTTTTATAAATTATTTTTTAAGGTCAGTGAGTGAGAGAGAGAGAGAGAGGTCGCATTCTAGGGAACACGTGTATTAATATCTATGGAACTATCAGCAACGAGCGAGTTAATTCGTTGCATCCGTAGTTGCTTGCTTGCTTGCTTTGCTAGCTTGCCTAGCACGCTGTATTTTCAACCGCAGTGCAGTCGATATTAATGCAACGAAACGTACTTATTACAGCATTAGATTAGATATGGGAATCGATATTATTTTCTCTTTTTTTTTTGAGAGAGAGAGAGGTGGAGGGAGGACGAGGGAAGGAGGAATAGAGGGGATTTTTTTCAAGCTGATAATCTGTAAAAGTATTTCAGAGATTGTTATTTTCTTTTCACGCGCCAAGTTTTTCATATTCACACGATGTATCCGTTTAGAAGAATACTTAATAGTGCGATACTTTGACCTTAACACGACCCAACCTGAACTGTTGTTGTTTAAAGGTTACGTAATTGTACTGTATATAATTGATTTGTGTAGGTTGCATCTATGGTGCGTTATGGGATGTGTATCGTGTTAATGTGAGCATTTTTATTTGACTATTTTGTTGTATTGATTTATTAATTTTTTTGTTATGTTTATTTTTATTTTTTACAGTGTTATAAATTTATTTTTAAAAAATATTTTGTTACAAATTTGATTGAATCTCGACGCTTGTATATTCATGAAAAATTTATAATGCAACGGATGAGAGATAATTGTGATAGATGTATATATGCCCGTGTATGTATGTTTTTGTGTGTGCTACACGTATAAAGTGTGGTATTTAAACGAGGAACAATTTCAACGTTTCTATATCATTTATAAATAACAAGTTTGTAGGAAATTTTTTTTTTATTACTTATGAAAAACTTTTTAAATGGTCTATTTTATATATTCATAGTTGATTTATAATGCATATATATATATNTATATATATATATATATATATATATATATATATATATATATATGTATATTGATCAAATATCATATGTAAATAAAAAGTTAAGAATATTAAAATGAAATAAAATGTTAACATGTAAAATATTTTGTGTATTAAAGCGAGAAATTGACAAAGTTTCAAATTGCCCACCCTGTATATTTGAATAGAAATGATAAACATTCTAAAGCACAAGATTAAATAAAAATAATACATTTCTTTGTACGATTATCATCAATTTAGTGAGTTTTACGAACGTTTATCGTAATCATTATCAAAACGTTTCAAGTTCAATGCTACGAATGAAAAGTGCGTTCTCTCGAAAACACCCAATGTATATGCTTGTCCTTCCGCGTGCCCTTCACATACATACGCACACACTCTCACAGACACAGATATCTATCTATATATAAAGCATATATATCAGCAGGGGTGGTAGAAAATTATGGGGAAATCGTGTTAGAGTAAGAGAGAAGAAGAAGAAGAAGAAGAAGAAGAAAAAGAAGTGAAGGAAGAGAAAGAGAAATTTCATTGGCGAGCATGCGCCATACTCATGGGGGAAAGATTCAGGGGGATTGGGTGAAGCTACGGGGAGTTGTGAGAGGGTTTTACCACCACTCTCTACTTACAGGGAATGTTATTGATCAGGCTTTCTCTCTCTCTCTTTTTGTGTGTCCCTTCTTTCAATCCAACAAATAGCCCGAAACTGTTTAACTAACCCCCATAGAAAAGAATACTGGCATTCATAAGTATCTGCATGTTTTTTTTTCTTTCTTTCTTTCTTTTTATTTTTTTCTTATTTTTTTTTTATTTTTATTATAATAAATGTTCAATTATAATCCCAAATCTTTAATTATTTAGTTAAGAAGACTCAATTTAAAAAAAAAAAAAGAAATTTGATTGTCCAGTCATTTTGTCAATTTTGTTAACATTTAATTTCTATGACATGTTCCTCTCTTTCAGTATATATATATATATAAAATAATTACATCGGTGAGTTGAACACAAATAAGATCGTTTAATCTTGTGACCTGTAGAATGTTCTTTTTATTATAAAAAAAAAAAAAAAATTATAGTTTATTTCTTTTTAAAAGGTCGAATGTAAATAAGATTTGAATGTACCTTAAAGGGATACAGTGAAAGGGTTGAAAAGGCTGCAGATAGATCATGGAGCAGGAAGATTATGTATATAGCAGGAGAGAGTAGGAGAAATAGAAAGAGAGAGAGAGAGAAAGAAAACAGAGAGAAAGGAGATCGAGTGTGAGAGAAAAAGAGAAAAGTAGAGTATGAGTAAGTGAGAAAGAGAGAATGATAGAGTGGGAGATGTTGAGAAGAATAAGAGAGAGAGAGAGAGAGAGAGAGAAAGAGAGAGAAAGAGAGAGAGTGAGAGTGAATCAGTGATGGCGCATAGCAGCCAGGCCGAGCCCAGCTGTTCTTCGATCCCCTATCCTACGTCAGTTTATATCAGCCACTTAGGCTACGTGCATTCGAGATTCCTCATTTTCCTCGTTAAATATCATATACGTTTATTGTTGAGAAAGAAAAAAAAAGAAAAAAAAAATAGAAAAATTAAAAAAAATTACAAGAAAAAAAGTATTTAATTGTAAAAAAAAAAACGAAAGAAATTTCATTTTTCAAATTCAACAGATATAAGAAAAACAGTAAGAGATTGATGAATCATTCGTTTCAATTGTTTCTTTTTTTTTTGCTACATTTAAAAAAGAATATATATATTTGATAATCAATCGAATTTGTTGAGTCGATATTGAAAGTATTTTTGAAATTATCTCAAAGATTTTTTTTTTTTTCAAAGTCCTGAAATTACCAAAGACGTTTTGTTGTGCGTTTCGTTTCTTTGCAGTCAAGCTTGTTATCATTCGACCTTCCACGCTCTCGATTCTTTCCGTTATGGACGGCTCAGTGTGACGGTTCTTTTAAGTCTTTACTATACATACATACATACATAGATACATACATACATACACACATACCACATTGTGACGCCGGTTTTTCCATTCCTTTCAATTTAGTTCTTGTTCGTTTCTTCGTCCTGACTGAGTCGTTTAAGTGTAGAACTCTTGAATTAAGTTGAAACGCGTTTGGTGATCAAATGTTTGATTCGTGTACGAATTAAAATGCACGATGACTATATATTGTGATGATATATCAATATATATATATATATCAGTTAGAAACAATTGTTTCGTTGAATTATAATCTTCGAACAAATATATCAACACTCATTGTTTCGTAGATTATTTTTAATGTGCAAGTGGTATATAGAAGATCCGTGTTCGGAAAGAAATGCTAATTTTAGAAAGACACGTTGACAGTTTAGTTTGCTGAACCCTTACGATCAGCTTCTGTTTTTTTTTTTTTTTTTTTAAACTCCTCGAGTTATTTCCTATAGGATCTTATGGAGGATGTTGCGTCGAGCACGTGGCCCGCAAGTTGCACGCTTGGCATACAAAGAACATCGTAAAAACGTAGCCCGAGTCCGCAGCAGTAGCAGCAGCTGCTGTTGCTTTGCTGTACTGTGCTGTGCCTGCGTATGACTATAAATGGAACGTCAAGAAGGGACATCGATGCGTGTTGTTCACCAAACGAAAAAAAACTCATCCGCGAGTAAGATCGTCGAAGATATTTATTTTATAATCTTATCGATTATTCTTCTTAATACATAAATAAGAAAAAAAACGAACAAATAGAGACAAAAGATATTCACATATCGTTCGTTTAAACACACACGCACACATACATAAGCAAACACATATATACATGGGACCAGAATAAACAAGGTGTGAAGAAGGTTAGTTGCTATAAAAGAAAGGGGTTACTGAAATGGCATTGAGGGACATTTTGAAAATCTTTGCTTCGACGCATGCGTCGAACTCCTGTCCGACATCTGATGGAGCACGATGAGATTGGAGGAGAAAGAGGAGGAAAAGAGGAGTTGGAGGTTCTAGAGAAAGCAATTCTACTATTGAAGAGACACATCGATGATGTTACTACGTCCCATCAAGCCAGGACAACGTTTGATCTGTCATCGTGACGTTTAAAAGACATTTCATTTAGTTCTTCGGACAAATTTGTTATATTTACGTTCAAACATTTATATCTCGGAGATCAATAAATTTTGGATTAAGTTGATAAAAGATGCCTAAAGAGAATCCTGGAGATCAGATAAATCGTTCTTCAATAAGACATCTGTCAGATGATCCTCGTCAAGGATCATTTAATTCTTCGACACGTCAACGATCAAACAACACGATGATTCCCTTGCCATGTTCTACGAAATTGTTGTCATCGAATATTACAACGGTGAATTCAAAAACTGTTAAGACTAAGGCAAATCGTTTGAGATTAATCATGGAAAATAAGAAGGAAGCTTTGGATGCTATCGAGAAAGAAGATCAATACGACGATAAATCTTACAACGATCGTTTTAACGCAACTTCGACGATCTTACGATATTCAAAATTCTCACGGGATAATTATCGGACTAGAGATTGCAAGGTGATTGTCCTTATAATGAAAGAACGTGTCGTAGTTGTTGTTTACGTAATATCCTCCTTCGATTGCAGAAGGCGTGTCTTTAGTGTTAGACGATCGTGTGTGTGTGTTTCTTATTCGTTTAGATTTTTTAAAAACGATCTGTCAAATCGATCAATTCATTACAAAATTATGCAGAAATTCTAGCAATCCTTAAAATGACAAAAAAAAAAAAAAACAAACATTAAATTAACACACAATTTAATAAATACCATTATTCGAGAATATTTTTGATATAAAATAAACATCTCATTATCTCGTAGAAAACTTTCAAGATACTTATCAGTTATGTTACTCGTTAATAAATAAGTCATTAACAATAAGAAAATAAGATCATACCTTTATTCAATAAAAGTTAAGTTACTTTCTTTCTCTTGTACTTTTTTTTAATTAATACATTCAAACTTCATTTAAAATCTTGAATTTTTAGACCATTGAGAGTTGGTAGCTTTCTGCATAATTTTGTTCAATTATTCTTTTATAAACACGATTTTGATTCATTTTTGAGTCTACATTTGAATGATGTTTATATTTATATGATGATAGGTTCCTTCTTCTTCTTTTTCTCTTAGCACGATGAATAATTTTCAATCAATTATACGATCTAAAGAAACTAAAAGAGATTTTTATATGAATAGTCTGGGTCAATGCTTATTAATTTGAGTACATTGGCCGTAACACTGAAGCAACAATTCCAAGCTTACTTTCGTTTTTATCGCGTCACTGATTGGTATGCTCTAATTTGTCTCGTTTATGTTTATTTTATTTTTTTTCTTTTTCTTTTTCTTTTTATTTCGAGAAAAGTTTCCCTCCTCGAGTCTTCATTCCAACGTCAAACGACTACTGGGATACTATTTTTAATAGCTACTTTTTTCTATTTTCACGTAACGTTCGAAGAAGAAAAGTAAACTCCCGTTGATATTTTAGGTTGCTCATAAAGTAATTTCGTTTTCTCGATAGTAAATAAAAAAAAAAAAAAATTTCTTCATAGTTATAATTCAAAATGTTTGAAAAAATTGCAAAAAATGGTTATGTGACGATTATAATATCCAACCAATGACGTTATTTTGTATCGTCATCTTTATAAATTGAACGACCTAAATGTTGTGTATCTTTCAAATCAAAATTATCAGTAGGAAATTTTGGAAAAGTAATTTTGAACATGGCGTTCATTTAAAATATATCTTCTCAATAAACGGCACATAATTTTGTTTTTCTTCGCATTGCGTTATTATCCTTACGGTAATAAAAAAAAAAGCCAAGTTATGACGAATATGTTTACTTTGATTTTCCATTTTTGATTCGATGCCAAAAAAAAACTATTTAGAAGATCGAAACACACGAAGGTTCTGAATTACGTCTGAAGTGTTTGTTGCTAGAATATTTCTGTAAAAAAAAAAATTTCAATTATTTTCCGAACAATACTAGTTTCTTTAGTATCTCTCGGTAATATACTAATATTATTTATTGCAATTGAGAGAAAAGGAATAATTGAATGATCAAAATTTGCCAATTTAAATGTATCTTAGATGTGACAGTCATATTTCTTAAATATTTATCAGTTCAAATATTTCCACTCCTTTGGCCTAGTTTCAACTTGTTAGAATGTTTTATTCTTCTTTTAAACTAACTAGGAAACTACATTTGTACGTGATATATGCATTATGTCGTAACGAATGCTTATGACGTAGGTTACAATTTCGTAATTATTACAACCGTCATTCCACGATGACGATAACAATGGCGTATAAATCAACATTAAAATGTTGAAATTATCTTTTTTATGTGATATATTTATGGATTTGTATTTATATACGTGTCTGAGTTTTACACACTCGTAACACCTGTAGAGATTGTAAATACAAGGTCAAACGGCGGCATTTAAACTCTCATTTCAATCTCCCGCCACTTCAATTGACCACTTAACAAACAACCACGCGTTGATCGCCATTCGCGGAAATTGGACTTCTTCTTCTTCTTCTTCTTCTTCTTCTTTGCTCGTTTTTTCTTTAGAACATTAAATTAAAAAGAAAGTAAATCGCTCTGTTTCACGCTATTTTCTCCCATTTTTAGAAAGTTTCTCTATTACTATGAAGTGGAAGGAAATAAAGTTAGATAAAAATAAAACAAGACACAATAAGAAATGTAGAACGAAATTGTAATTTGTTTTACGAATTAGACAATCAACGTGATTTATGTTGATCATCATCATCATCATCATCATCTGGTTGATAGTTTCAATTGATTTTCACTGTTAGAACATTTCTTTCTAATTGTTCTGACTAGTCATTCTTGAACTGCATTTGTATCCATTAGAATGACATTCAGAGTGAATGATGGCTTTCATCAGATGGCAGACTATTTTGTTTTCAATTTGAAGAAAGTATTGAGTATTAATAACCGAACTTTCTGGCAAGGTCTAGTGCAAAATTTTCTAATGTACAAGTTATACGAAACAATTATTTTTGAACAAATTGAATGAATAAATATCTAGAAAGTTCAAAGAGAAAATAATACTAATGTATAGAACAACAACAACAAAAATAAATAATTTATCTATACAAATAAAATTCAAAAATATAATTTAAACTCTAACAAACAAATTTCAAAAATCACAATTCCAATCCTATATGAAAAACTAATAATAATGTCTAATAATGTAAAACAAATATTTGCTTGCCCATAGGAGGACGTGGAGGTGGTGGCATCGAAGAAAACTTGGGGTTTGTTCCCAGAGGAGAATACAGAAAGAAGAGTAGTAATAGGAGGAGCGGTAAGAGTAGGAGAGAGAGGAGGAGGAGGAGGAGGAGGAGGAGGAGGATTGGTAGGAGAAGCTCATCACTCGTACGAGAGATTCGAAGTGGAAGAGTGCGTTGGTAGTAGCAGCGGTTTGGGTACCAGCAGCAGTAGTAGCAGCAGTAGCAGCAACAATTTGGTTCAAAGTAACAACAGCAGCAGCGGTAGCAGAAGTAGCAGATATAATCCTGCAAGCGTTAGACGACCACCGATCCGGATTTTGGAACGCGATAGTAGTACGGCCCTGGTTTACCCCGTGGTTGTCGCGGCGCACGAGCCGGAGACAAGCTGCTCGTCGAGACGTCCAGCCGCTTTAGCGGTGCCGGCAGTGCCGGTGGTGGTGGCACCCACGACGATCATCACCACCACCAACACCACCATCAACACGGCTGCCACGACGGCTACTACTGCGGCAGCGGCTGTTAGATCTGCCGCTGCCAAGAACTTGCTCATCGATGCTACAAATACTACTGATTTACGTCAATCAAATTATCTATTATCATCGGCCGGTTTTATCAAGGATACCAAGAAAGAGGATGCCATGGAACCCGAGATCAAAGAAGAAGACGAACGGAGATCGTCCACCTCCAGTCCTGAGGTAAATATTTGTCTTTTATATTATACATCTCTATTTTTCTCTCTCTTTCTTTCTTTCTTTGTGCATTGTGTTGTTACTCTTTCAGTCTTATTTTCAAGACGATTGTGTGACAAATGTGTCTCTATTCGAGGGATAATTATTATCATCTTTATTATTGTGTGCTGCGCGTGATTGTTGTTTCTTTGCTTTGCTATTTGGTTGGATGACTTTTTTTTCTGAGTATTGAGATACGTTTTGTGGAAATTCATTTTCATGGTCGTCTGATGGAGTCTGGAAAATAAGAGATAGAGATAGAGAGAGGGAGAGAAAAAGAAAGAGAGAAAGAGAGGGTGCTGTCGAGCTGCGCCTCGTGGCGCACGTATATTCCATATATACACGTCCACTAACGTAGCACGTATTGATTTTACTCGAGCTCTCTTGCTATTTCTCGCTCTCTCGCTCTTGCTCTTGGTTTGTCTTCCTTGTCTACTCTCTTTTCCCTTCCCCCTTCGGCTCTCCCTCACTAATACAGAAGCATGCATTTCCCTTCGGCGTATTTCTCTTCCTTCCTCTCTTTTCGTACATGGACTGCCTTTAAGTTATTCTTCTTCGCTCTTACATTCGGCTCATCACTCTTCTGCGGATGCACTTTGGAGAAATGAATACAGTGAGTCATACGGTATGCATTCGAAAAAAAAAAGAAAGAAAGAGAGAAAGAAAGAAAAAAAAAGATATATAAACAATTAGTGTTTGTGAGATTGATCGATGTATCCTCGTGACGTCAGAAAATTGTCTTGATATTCAAGAAAGCTCTGCTGCCGCGGGGTTGTTTAATTATGTATTTTTTAAATGCCATCTTATGTGTGTGCGTATACCTGTGCATTACAGTTTTATGTGAGAAGAAATAAATGTTACAACGAGGATGCCAGTAGCGAGGAAGAAAACAAGCCAGGCAGTTCCCTTCAATGTCATGGATTACAATCATCCTATAGCGGAACTTGGCCTATCAGACGAGATTTATGGGCAAATCAACAAATGGGATTTTCCAATCAACAAAGTACATCGAGTATGTCTACCCATAACGTAAGTTTGAACTATCATAATCTTAACGGATGATACTAGATATTTATAAGTAAACTTTGAGGGATGTCAAATGACATTGTATTACAGGACATGGCAAGTGTCATGAGTTTTTCATCAAATTCTGGTACGATGCTTGGTAATTCGACGGAAATGCAAGGACATCGTAGATTGGGAGCTAAAGTTGACGTTGTCTATAATTTGTTGAGCATGTTAGGAAGTTCCGAAGGTCGAGAGGATATGAGTTCAACCTTATTATCAATGAGTACTTCTATCGACAGCTGCCTCGTTATGAGACAATCCGGTTGTCTACCTTTGCTCGTTCAATTGATTCATGCTCCTGGACAAGATCCAGAAACGAGAGAAAGAGCATCCCGTGCGTTGCACAATGTCGTTCATGCAAAAAGCGACGAAAGAGCAGGACGTCGCGAGGCACGAGTTCTCAGGTTTCTCGAACAATTACGAGATTATTGTCAATCATTAAGAACATTGTTGGAATCAGGACAGTCAGCGGATCTTGACAAACATCCAGGACCAACGATAGCAGCCCTCATGAAATTATCGTTTGATGAGGCACATCGTCATGCGATGTGTCAACTCGGTGGTCTTCATGCTGTCGCCGAATTAATAGAGATGGATCACCTAGCTCATGGCAGCGAATGCGACGATCAAAATTGTATCACTTTAAGAAGATACGCGGGCATGGCATTGACCAATTTAACGTTTGGCGATGGTAACAACAAGGCTCTTTTATGTTCCTTCCGTGAATTTATGAAAGCATTGGTCTCTCAATTGCGAAGCCCCAGCGACGATCTCAGACAAGTAACTGCAAGCGTATTGAGAAATTTATCATGGCGAGCCGATAGCAGTAGCAAACAAACGTTGAGGGAAGTTGGAGCAGTTACTGGATTGATGAAAGCTGCTATGGAGGGTCGAAAAGAATCAACTCTGAAGTCTATATTATCGGCACTTTGGAATCTATCTGCTCATTGTAGTACCAACAAAGTGGACATATGCGCGGTCGATGGAGCTCTCGCTTTTCTCGTCGATATGCTCAGTTACAACGCTCCGTCTAAAACTTTGGCCATTGTTGAAAATGCCGGTGGTATATTGCGAAACGTATCTTGTCACGTTGCCGTTAGAGAAGATTACAGAGCTATTGTACGAGAAAGGGGTTGCTTGCAAGTACTTTTACAACAATTACGATCACCCAGTTTAACAGTTGTCAGTAACGCCTGCGGAGCACTTTGGAATCTTTCAGCGAGGTGTCCACAAGATCAACGTCTTCTTTGGTCCCTGGGTGCTGTACCTATGTTACGAAGTCTCGTACATTCGAAGCATAAAATGATATCCATGGGTTCTAGTGCAGCGTTAAAAAATTTACTTAGTGCCAAACCTGGCTGTAGCAATCTGGTTCAATTGGATTCAACTGCGCGCGGACTTGGATTATCGACCTTGCCATCTCTCGCAGCTCGAAGACAACGCGCTCTCGAACAAGAAATCGATCAAAATCTAGCTGAAACTTGTGATAATATTGAACCCAGTACGTCACCAACTAACAAGGAAGATAAATTTACGTTTAAAGCTGATCACAGTTTCCTCGCTGCTAATACACGTGGATTACGATCTTACCAATTGTATAATCAATCTGGTACATCCGGCAATAAATGTAACGGAGTTTCCAGAAGCGAAAGTAGAGAATCCATGAGGTCGGTAACTAGTACACATTCTGACACGATGTTTGAAAGAGTTCATCGACACGTTATGAATGGAATGTCGCCAACCGAAGCGCAAGGAAAACAATCTTTATCTTTACACGCAGCAACAGGATTTGATAATGGAATACAACTGGATAATCCAAAAACAACTTCATCTGAGAAGAAATACACGTTGCGTTACAAAAATGCATTACCCGACATTGGATTTGGTAATGGCAGTGAATTACGTTCAACTACTTCAACAATATCATGGTCATCTGTTCCTGATCAAGAAGCTGTTTGTTCCCAAACTTTATTACATTCATCTGTCGAAGACAACGCTTTGTTACTCAATCAAAGTATGTCATCCACGTCTAAATTCACCAGTCAATCAAGCATTTCGGAAGATACCGAAGTAACTGTTTGTCAAAATTCGGAATACCGTAGCGATATTCCTAAATCTAAATCGGAAATATCGTCGCAACTATCTTACGTACCTGATAATTTTTCAACTAAGCAATGCGAGGATTACGATCGCATGTTGTTGCATCAACACGATCCTCTGAATTCGATTCAAAATGTAATATCACCTACTTTGAGTCATAATTCGGAAGAATCATTGTTTCGAAATTATACCGAAACTGATCTAGATCAGCCCACGGATTATAGCATACGATATGCTGAGCAAACTATTGAGGATGACGAAAAACAGCACGCCGTATATTTTGTTACTACCGAACAAGGTCTCATCTCATCTTCATTACCGAATGAAGTCTCGTCCCAAGAAGATGACACTGTTAAAATGTATTGTACCGAAGGTACACCACGTGGAATTTCGTTGAATTCTTCTCGAGCAGCTTCATCTTCCGATTTACAGGAAGACAGTAAAATAAAAAGTTTATCGAGAAAATTATTGGAACCCAATAAATTGCATGATACTGAGCAGAACGATAAAGCGTCATCTTTGTCGGATGTCGTCGAAAAAGTTAATCGTTTTACTATCGGTCAAGATAAAAAACAAGATTTCAATCCTACAAAAGAATTCTTGAATAAAACGACGTGGCAAGAATCATCATCAGTGTCAAATAATTGTCAATATAATCAAGATAATTCTTCAAAAATAAATTCATCCGATATTAAAATAGGTAAGCAAGGTTGTGAACTTTGTTTGACGACTATACATTTTGTGTGTATGCATCAGATTTTATATTTATACACTTTGTTTAATCCTTATCACCATTATCTTTATAATGTATGGGCTTTTTCCAGATAAGCATGAGATAATAACTAATCAAAGCATAGCATTTGATAGCGAGTCTAGAACTTCGAAAGAGTTATTCCTAAACAAAGGTACTTCTTACGTTGGTAATTTAGATCAAGCTAGCGATGTTGATGAAGATGATGAAGATTTACTTGCTGCTTGTATCAACATTGGAATGCAAAACAATAGGTAATGAAAATACATGATTTGTATGTTTTTTTTTCGCGTGTGGTTGCGGCTCATTGTTATTTTTTTATCAATTAACAAACATATTTTTATATGGTTTTTATGGTTCTTTTCTTTTTACAGACATAGGCATTCCTTCATAGGAAATAGTTTTGAAAAACTTCCAAGAGCAGAGAGTAATTTGATGAGGTATCAAACCAGCATTGCTTTAGATCAAGTAGAATCTAACGATTCTATTGGCTCTGCAAGTGATTCTTTCAATCTAATACAACCAGAAACTGCTGGAAAAGCACTGCCTATAAATAATTTGAGAGAGCATTCGTCATCAGTTTTGTTAGATATCATTCAATCGTCTAAGGATGAAGTTTTGATAACCAAAGAAGATCAAACGAATTCGAAGGTATATCATCCTATTTTCTATATATAAATAATTATTATTTTGATGTTAATTTATTTATTGTTTATTATTTTTAGGAATTAAGTAAAGAAAAAACGATGCTTTCTCAAAATATGCAGAAAGATTCTTCGAACGGTAACATTAGCGTAACTAGTGTAACAAATCATAATAATTTATCTGCTCATACTGCATCTTCAACAATAGATGTAGCTCTTAGTAGTATTAAGAAAACAACTACATCAAATATCAACTATTCCATACAAGAGAAATCAGAGCCTTCTTCTGTAACTTCTAACGATGTTTGCATCAACAAAGATCTTGAAATCCTGAAGAAAGATGAATTATTTACAGAAACAGAAATTGTAGAAAATGCAAACGAAACAAGAATAAAGAGTACAGATTCCGAAAGCAGTAATTCCATCGATTCGGTTGAACAATCGGAACACGCATTGTTAGAACTGTGCATACAAAGTGGACTTCCTAAGGCGACTGAAAATATTACAGGAAAGCTTATTTCAATTATTAATCAACCAAATAAATTATTGAACGATGAATCTTACACTTATTTGAAAAATTCCTTGAAAGATGAGAGTAGTATTGAAAGTACGAAGGATGATCTCGATGGAAAGGAAACGTACGTTGTTGATAAGACGATTAAACGTGTGGAAGAAGATGTTTATAGACGGCAACGCGATCCCGACGCTATGATCGCATCGTTGGATCGGCTGACAGCTACTTTGGTACAACAAACCGAAGCGATACGTGAAAGAGATTCTTCAAATACAATGAAACAAAGTATATTGAGTGATACGTGGAACGAAGATTCCCCCAATGAAATGTCTTTTCCAAGTATAAGCATTAGTGCTCCTATGATTCCTTCCTTCAAAAGCGATGTTCCAGATGGTCAAACAACAACCATGTCTGATATTGCGGAAGGTGAAGACGATGAACATGTAAGTATGACTGATTCCAAAATCATTCAGCAGGAAGCTATTAAATTAGCAGAAGCAGTCGATGCTGAAGTTAATAAGCAAAATGAAATGGAAACAACAAGTATGACATCTATTGATCTCGACGCCATTAAACCACCATCGTCTATGGGAAGTTTATTGTCTTTGACCGCCAGTTACGCTGGACCTACGGAAAACACAGAAAGTTACGTGAACAGAGATAGATGTTACTCTACTTCTCTACCACCCGTTCAAACTAAGAATCAATCGGCTACCGATACGCGAAATTGTCGAAAGAAATCTTTGCCTCTTGGCGTTGTGGCTAAAAGAGCATTGAATCAGGGACAAAGTCATACTGGTAGTTTAGAGAATTTGCTCAACGATTGTGTACACTCTCATTTGGAAAACGTTAAGCCACCTTCAGTAATGGACGAATTGTTAGATGTTGGAGATATGGAAAACAGTATGCTGAGTGTTGCGAGTATTACCTCGGAAGTAGCTGATAATAAAGATCATGATTCACATTCATTATCAGGAAGTGATCCAGTATTTGATCTTCTTAAGCCTGTCGCTAATGTATTGTCAATTACATGTATGCGATATGCCGAAGGCATGCAATCTAGTGGAAACAATAGCCTGAGTGAATATTTAGAAAACATTAATCCTCCATCTCTCTTCAACGAAGTGAGTGAAATGGATCAATCGACGGTGGAAGGAAACACAGATACTCTGTGCAACGATACTTTATGTATAGATGCAGAATTACGCACAGAAGAAGTACCACCTACTCTGGTAGAAGCTATTGACGAAGGTGAAAACGATACCGACGAAGGAGTTACTACAATTTCTTCGGAATATTGTCTCAGCAGTTCTGCAGAGTCGACTCCAAAGAAAAGATCGAATAAAAATCATTTGACGCCAAAACAAAAAAGAAACTTGGCAAAGGAGAGATACAAAACGTATACGATCGCTGCTGAATTTGTTAAGAAAGAAGAAGAGAGGCGTAAGCAAGAAGGTAAACCAGGAGAAACGCCAAACAAAATAATCCAAGGCAAGTGTTCTCCTATCTCTAAATTAACACCCAAACAACGTAGACAAGAAGATAGGGCACGTTTTCAAACTCAAGTACTTGAAAATCCATTTCCAAGTATCAATGTGCTAGCAAGTAACAAAGAAGAAATAGAACAGTCATGTCAACAAAAGGATCCAGAAGTTGAAGATCCAGCATCTGCTAGCAAATCTTCCATCCCTACGCTCACAAAATTGCCGATGCCTAAAGCATTGAGGAAGAAGCGTGCCGAAAATCAAGAAAATAAAGAAAGATATCGCACAAGAACGTTAAATGATTCGGAGTGTTTGCAAAAGACTGATGACTGCGATTTAGAAGCAACGGTAAATGTTTTAGAAAAAGAAAATACTGATAACGTGCACAACGTTGCATTAGAAGAAATCAATAACATGTTAGAGCATAATGCTACTATAGTATTAAATACCTTGAATGAATCTAGTAAGAATCATGCGATTTCTCTTGGTGACGATGTTCTATTGGATCAAGAAACTTTAAGCCTAGTATCGAACGAATCTGGGTCTGAACAAAGTCTAAGATTGTGCTTTGTCAATGGGGTATCTAAAAAACTATTGGATACGTATACTCATCAAACACAAGAAATTTCGCAAAAATTCAATCACAATGTCCAGGAAGAAAAAGATAAATCTGACGTAGAACATGCTCAAGAAGAAATTGATCCTGTGGAATCGGGGAGCGACAATGGTTCTAATTGCACCGAAGAACAATGTCAGGTATTGAAACGTCCGCGTATAATTAAACCAGGAATGAGTAGCAGTAGAGACGTTAGCGCGGATTCGAATAATACTGACAAGTCAGAACCGGGAAGTCCAAAAGCAATTCGTGGAAGGAGAAAAGCATTGTATTCTAATCCAATTACTAGAAAACCAACTCCGCAGTCATCGCCCTTGAAACATCCAACTCCAATTAGCGCTATTCCTATTGGACGTAGTAACACCTCTCCTATTGTTAGAACTACTAGGGCTACTACTCTTAGGCAAAGTAACGGTTCAGGTGTAACTGCTACTACAAAAGAACCTTTGAAGACAAATACCAGTCCAAAAATATCCTCTGCTATTGCCAGTTACGAAAATAAAATTAAAAATATGAATGCTGCGAGTAAAAGAACATCGGTTCCCAGTAAAGGATCTTCGTTAACATTTACTAGACCCAACAAACGTCACAGTACACCTGCATGCTCTTCAAATAGCCAAGGCGAATGTAAAGCTGAAGTACCACCGACAAAACCATTAGAACGTCAAGGAACATTCACTAAGGATGAGCCAGAAGTAGAAAATGCACCAACAGTATTTTCACCAGCCTCACCGGTAAAGACTAAAATTGCTAAACCAATAAAAGGAACGTCAAAGATTCATCCGGCCGTTGGAAAATCGAAAATTTCAGTAAGAGCTCATCAAACATATCAGACGAAAGGTGTGAAAGCAAATGGTATTGAAAAACCACAGGTATCGAAAGTCGTGCCAACGTTAGGAATTCCTAAGAGCAGTGCTAAATTAACAGGAACAGGTAAAGGTTTAACAAGTAATCAGAGCGCATTGCAAAATGATAGTGGAAAAGTTTATAGAAAGGTAGGACCATTAGGTCAGAGATCCAACAGTAATTCTAGCATTATATCCGATACGTCGAACGGCGTACAAGGTCGTAGATTAGCAAAGGAAGCTACGAGTAAAATTGCTAGTCTTTGGAAGAAGGTAGAAGAAAATAAGACCAAACAATTGTCTGATAAATCGGACGCGAGAAAATGGATAACACCTGTTAGCGGTGCGACGGAAGTAGTAGACGGGCAAATAATTTCAAGCAAACCACCCGCGTTTAGATTGTTCCGTAGCTCAACGTTCGAAGGAGTTCCTCAAGACGACAGTCATAAGTTGTCTATACAAAAATCTCGATCCAAACAGCCATCTATAATGAACGTTCAAGCCAACGGAATAAAATACAGAAATTCGTGCGATTTGAGCGGTATGAACGCGAGCGAGGCGCCATGTAAGATTCCTGTTAAATCATCTAATCCTACCACATCAAAAAAAGATATCGTACAAGGAGATAATAGCGTTGTTTTACGGCGTCAACAGGGAAACGATGCTGGAAATGAAATTGACAGTGTTAAACGCATGTCACGGCTTGGTTCTTTTATAACAGTAGACCCACCAAATTCGGATATTGCACAAATACCAGTTATGTCCATGGGCACTGGACGTACACCACCGGCATCAGCTGTCGTACCACCCTTTAATTACAATCCTAAACCGGCAGACATTCCTTCGCACATAGTTAAATCCAGATCAGATGACAATGGGGAAGGAAAGTTCGAAGTTACGGATAGTCAAACGGAAATAGTTACGGCCTCTTCGAGAGTAACGACGGTATAGAGTAACATCTTACAAGTTTTGTAGCAGTAATTTTTTATTGTTGCAAACCTAGTCATTATAAAAAAATGGAAAAGAAAAAAAAATTGATTCATTTATTTTACAATCGCGTTGCTTTAATATTTTTTCTTTCTTCTTTTCGATGGATAATTCACGTGGTTTTATCCGATGTATTTATCTTTTTATACATTTCTTAAATTCTATATATATATAGAATTTATATTTATTTATATACATATATATATATAGAATTTATCTTACATTTTATTTTATTATTTTCAAGATCATGTCTTTTTTTTTTTTATATATGTAAAGAAAGAAAAACGATGAAAGAGTAGAAATAGCAGGAAATTTCCATAATTCATTCCTGTTTAAACATTTTGTCTGTGTGCGTGTTGTATATAATATAATAATATGACATAATTCCATCGATACGAGTCAGTATAAAATTCTCTAGCGTCTATATTAGTAATTAATTATACGCGGGATTATTTATTCCATTTTGTATATATATATATTAAATGTGATTAAGAAGTGTAGAAAAGAAAAAAAACAAAAAGTTAGCAAACTGTCTGTTATATTACAATAAAACAGGTGATACGCTGCTGTACATCTTTAATTAGTGAAAATCGAATGAGGAAAACGTTAGATCTGCATTTTGTTTCCGTTGTAGTTAATAGTACATATTCATTTTCAATAAGAGGGAGAAAGAGAGAGAGAGAGAGAGAGAGAAAGAGCATCGTCTAATTACTTTTGAAGACTGATAACGACGACGTTTGAGATATACATTTGGTCAAATTTGAATATGTGTTTTTTCAAACAACATGCAAGGAAAATTATTTAATAAATTAGTGATACAGTTTATATAATATAAATATATCAATATTTAGTGATCTACGTATAAAGTAATACAATTTAAGGCGATGAAAATTATTTGTGAGAAGAAAACAATTTTATAAATAATTCAACCCTAAGTTTCTAGTCTACTTCGATAAATTTTGCAGTCGATACATGCTTATATATAAATATATATATATATATATATATATATTTTCGTCGTCGTACATCTTATTATAGATAAATTCATTCGTATTTAAATTATGTCTACCAAAAAAATCGAGTTATATATATATATATATCATACTTTTTAAAGAAGGTATATATAAATTAGTATTAAAATATGCACAGAGATCTATCGCGTATGGATTCGTTTTATTTCAATTTAATTTAATTATGTTTTACGGTGGTGGATCCATTTAAAGAATTTAATCCATTCAAATGCATCGGGTTCGTTATCCGAGTTGTTTGTTAACAGATCAACCACTGTATTTTTCATTTCTTTTTTTTTTTTTGTTTTTCATACATTGATATTCATTTTTTTTTTTTTATTCAATTATCTCATTTCAAATAAGTTGCATTCTATATTATGTCATCGTTCCTTCTTTTGCGAACCACATGTTCCATTAGAAGAAAAATGTTTGGCGTAGTATGGAGTACAAAAATATTTTATTTTTTAATTATTGTTTCACTATCTATTAAATGCAATAATAATTATCGAACCCCTTTCCAGTTCGGGTTAATTAAATTTAACCGTCCCAACTCGGATATATCAGGGGTCGCCTTTTCATTTATTATTATTTTTTTTTTTTTTTCAACGAATTTTTCGCTCGTATCCATCCTGCATATTTTTTTCGTAATCATTGTGTAATAAGTCTCCCCTTATTCTTCTTAGGATATATAAGTAACATTTATTTCTCTCTATTATTATTATATTATACTTTATATTTGGCAGGTATTTAAGTATAATTTGTATACTAATAAGTGCTGAATAATAAAATTTCTAGCTACTATAAATAATTCATGTTTTTCATTATATAAATATTTACTATTTAAGATTATAATAATAATAATAATAATAATAATAATAATAATAATAACAATAATCATAATCATAATAATAATAATACTGAGTAAAAAATTTTCAAAGTTCTCTCATGAAAAGGAATCAACGGACTCGTAAAAAAGAAGAAGAAAACGTAATCATGAAAATTGTTTCTTTATTTTTATATATTTACTTTATAATTATTATGCATTATAAAGGACAATCATAAAGATTAATTGATTTGTCTTCGGATACCGACATAATCGTATTGTTCTTTCGTGGATGATATTTTACTGCCCATACCTTGTTAACAAAGAATAATTGTTATTATCATTGATTATCGTTCGATTAAATCTATACTTGTAATAATTAAAAAACAAATGGTACATGGTACGCGAACGTATATGAAAACATTTATATATTGATGATTATTAGTTAAGCGTAGAAATATGTTTTAGATAAAAAAAAAAAAAAAAAAAACCAATATTATAAATTATTTATCTTAATGATTATACCTGATCAGTGTGCTCTTTAAATGTATGCAAACATTGGCGACGCGCCAATTCCCAAACTTTGACCGTGTGATCTGAACTACTGGAAACAAATCTTTTTCCATTAGGTGCAAAAGCAACCCCAAGTACCCAAGAGGCATGGCCTGACATGGTTCCTGCTAAATTCGCATCTTTTCTATAATAAAATATAAGATACAAATGTAATTTGTTTTTCGTTCTTTTAAAACAGAAGCACATAATAAGTATAAATGATAATAGCACAAAAGTTTATAGTAATAATAATAATAATAATAATAATAATAGTAATATTGTTAGTTAAACTTTCTTAGATATGTTTAGAAACTGACACGTCGTATATTTTCATGTGTCCATCATCCGATGCGGTCAAGAGTAACATAGAATCAGGAGAGAAACATAAGGATCTGATAGGCATCGCATGACCTAAAAAAAAACTTTTTAATATATCTTTCTATAAGAAGCAGGAGAGAGAGAGAGAGAAAGAGAGAAAGAAAGAGAGTATGTGTATAGGATTAATATACAGCAAATGTTAGTTTATACTTTCTTAAATGTACCTTCCAATGTACGGAGAACTTTACCATAAGTTACATCGAAGATATTAATGATACCATCTATCGCACCACTAGCAATATATTTACCATCAGGACTCTAGAAATAAGTATGGATATTAATTCGCTCTGTAATCAATGTAATAGTTCCTATATACACAAAAAAATAATTTATTTAAAAAAAAAAAAAAAGGGTACTTACAAAGGCAACGCTAAGTGTAAATTTTCCACCTCTAGTATCCAATGTTTGCTCTTGTTTCCCGCTTTCCATTCCATACAGATGTATCTTACCAGAATGACTACCGGATACAACAAATTTATCGTCAGGAGAAAATACTACTGTCCAAATATCGACAGGTCCCACCTCAATATTAGAAATCTTTTCACCCGACTCCAAATCCCATACCTTCAAACTGGAATCAAGCGAACTTGATGCGCACTCTGAAAACAAAAAAGATAATATAATAAATTATTTATTACTGCATAGTCATTGTATTAGAAAGAATAAAAGGTTCTTTGTCTTCTCATTTAACTATATAACGTACTTAAACCATCCGAACTCACAGCTACTGAAACCACTCCAAGGGAATGTCCAGTTAACTTATGCTTCAAAAATAAAGATTCGTTTCTATGCTCCCAAACTTTAACGGTATCATCCACCGATCCAGTTACTATGTACTCAAATAACTCATCATCATTCGATTGCATAGAATCTCTGTGAAAATTAAAATTGATAGAATTAATTTTTACTACACCATAATGTTCATTGTTAATGATATTATTTAAAGAATATTACCTCGAATCATCCAAATCAAGACTCGTATCTTTTTTTTTCTTAGGACATGCCCAAGCACATGTCCAAATACTGTCTTCATGTGCATTTTCACTTCTATGAGCTAAAGAATACTAAAATAATAAATAATATTTAAATAGATATATACATAGTTTATATTTCATGATCATTTATAATTGAAACATACTTAAATTAATTGCACAGAAAAATATTCTTACCATATTCTTTCAACTATTGTTTGTGTATGTTATGTTGAAATCACTTTTATTTGAAGGTTATGTTTGATTATTTTTAATAAATATACACAACCGAGAATACAATAATTGTATTTTTGAAATATGGCGTTTTAAATTAGACAACTTTGTAAATGGTAGTCAAAAAATTTTGATTTATATTTCACAGAAAATATTTTGTATAAATTGAAAGCTGTGGCAGTAACGTGATCTCAATAACAGTAAGAAGTAACATTTTTGAATTCATTGGACTAGAAGAATATTTTCTCAATAATATAGTACATTATATAAATAGTAAACACGATGTTTTTTTTCTCTTTTTAAATAATATTTATTAAAAAAATATAATAAACGTATTATAAAATATTTATTTGAAGATTTGATAAAAATATGTTTTAAGATTTTTCAACAGGCACAATACTAGCAGTATATGCCATAGTGGAGAAATGTAATGGCAGTGGTTGGTTAGGAATCAGACAACATATAAGGGATAACTCATGCACGTGATGTAAAAAACAATAATTTAGAATGACAGTTGTATGCAATGTATAACGTCATATATTCGTATGTAAGAACATTTTTCCGACAACTCTGAATTATTGACAATATTTTTACTATTTTTTTATTTACTCTTATCTATTTAATTTTTATTTCAATTAAATTTTAGATTATCATAAGAATGTTGGTAAATTTGTTAATCTGTCATCTGTTGATAACAACGATGAATTCATATTTACCGACAAATCCTATGTTATATCATTCGAATCAAAACAAACCACTGAACGAACTACATTACCGACCGTATACAAATATTTTTCTCGCAAGATGGCGCGTCGATTTTTAGTGTATCGAAGTATCGAATCTAATGGATTCGATATTATTCGATTTAAATATTTGCAATAGTAGCCATTTTGAAAATTAGCGCGTAGAAAAATTTTTCGTCTAAGGAAAGATTTTGTAATAGAAATAAAACTGTTTTATTTTTTTTTATTATTCTAAACCGTGTTATTAATTGTGCTAAATTACTAAAAAAAAACATTTCATTCTAAAAACAAATGATAAAGTATGAATTAACGAACGAATATTGTAAGTAACATTTTGATTACATGCATGTAAGTAAAACCTTACAAACTTTGAGAAATTTCTATAGAATTACTTGTTGAGCAAGTACTAATATATTTTTTGTATATTTCACACGCAGGATTTAACCCTGAATGCAGTTCGCTGCTTAACACATTGATTGTCAGACATATTTAGAGCGTCTTGCTTTAAATTTTTAAAAATTAAAATAATATTAAGTTATTGAGATATATAATATTGTAATGGTATTTACAATAATTGATAATTAATGTTTTTTACATCATATAAATATTTTATTCAACTTTTTAAATAATTCTTAACGCAAATAACCATTTGTAATTAATCTAAAATTGCAGCACACACTACGAGATATCTCGTAGTTGGCAAGTCAATGGGTTAAAGAATTCAGAATGTCGATAAGTTGGCTGACTACTGGCTGATAAGTTATCTATCAAGTAAATCTTAGAAAAGTAAGTACATATATTCAAATTTTCAATTTCTTATCACGCTACGTTTTCCTAGTATGATATTCTTTTAATAAAACTTAAGCCAAATTTTTGCCTACCAATTCGATTTTGTAACAGGAAAGTATACGACTTAAGTAAGTAGATTTTTTTTCATGTTACCTCAGTATAACTTATGTTTTCTTGATACAATGTATAACTCATGGAAAGTATTTGTCGCAGTTCACTCGTAGACTTCCCTATCTAAAGAATATATGCTTATAATAGAGAAAGAACTTTTCATCAAATCTTGATATTATACATAATTTTGTAAAGTACTTAACTATTATATAATATTTGTTATGAGTCTATTATTTTAACTTGTCGAAGAAGATATTGTTGTAAAAAAGAAAAATCAGTGTAATCATTTTGAGAAAAACAATGGTGTACATGTATGGGAAGTGTTAGCTCTAGGCAGGAGGGTAAAAGGAAGCAATACTCTGTAAGAGAAACGATTTTGTATTATACTCACGTTGTAACGTTTGTAGTGTGACACGTGCAGCCCTTGCCACGTGCCGTGCTCCAGCCGATCTAAATCTAATAACGCAAACAGCCTTACAATAACGTACATCATACACGGCATCGTTTGGTGGCCGGAGGTAACAGGACACCATGTGAACTAATCGTTTCGAAGTGGTCTTGGAGATCCTGTTTCGCTATTTGTTAAATCGAATGCGAGTTCTCTTGGGACTGAATTGGTCGTCCACCATGCGCTTTCAACGATCAACTACCATCCTTATTGCTTTTTCACGATATCGATTATTATCACGTTAACTAGACTAAATGTGAACTTTTATAATAGTTGTTTGTTGCTTTTATTGTTGTAGAAATTCGTAATTTGAGATGTGTATTGAGAGATAAAAAGTTATTTTTTTTTTTTATTTATTTATTTCAAAATTAACACATAGTAACAAAAAGTCTAAGAAAAAAGCCAGTTTTAATATTTCTATCATTTTATTTAATAATATACTTAACAATGTTATGATCGGCATAACTATTTCATTAGTTAATTCATGTTTTGCAAGTGTAACGCAAAATCAAACAAGGGTGACGTACGAATAACAAAGTTCTTAAATTCTTAAACGCATACTTACTAGCAATCTTGCCAAGAATAAGGTAGATCCACGACTGTAAGTGAGATATTGAATTGTTAATCGATAATTGATAAGTTTAATTTATACGTATTGTGCATATATATATGTACACACGTATAATTGTAGAAAGAGAAAGAGAGAGAGAGAGAGAGAGAGAGATAGAGATAGAGATAGAAATAGAGAGAAAGAATGAGAAAGATAGGTTGATGATGTCAGCTAACATAATATGGTCCATCTTGTTTTAATTCTCAAAAATGTAAGTTTAATTTATTTTAATATACAACGACGAGAGTGCTTGTACGTTCGAATGTCAACACGCGCATTTAAACGCATGCGTACAAGAACGACGCGCCCCTACGAAAGATGTGATTGTGTGCGTGATCGAATTAAAAACTGTATATAATAATAACCGAATATGATATTTTATTTAATTAAGATCACAAAAGGATTGAGTTACGTTTTATTTCCAAAAGAAGATTATTTCCATTGATATTTCTTAGGAAATAACGAGTTAAGAAATATTCGATATGGAATAAAGGAATTTTTTACAATAATAATTCCAACAACGGCTCGTTCATATGAGCACGTTTATACAAACTTGTTCATACAAACGATACAACGAACGTTCCTGTATACTCGTAGAAGTGTGCTGGAAAAATCTGGGACTAATCGAAAGTTTCGTTTCTCGTTGATGTATAATATGGCTTCGTATACTTTCTTCGTGATTCGTGTGAGGAGTATTCCCGTATAAGGGTTGGCTTATCAAACGAATTTCGATATCGATTGTGTGTTCCTTCGATAACAGATCGCGCTCGGTCCAACTTTCTCTTGTGTCTCAGTCAATAACATTTTGTTTCTTCTCCAATTAGAATATGTATGTATATGTATAGATCATCATTGATTAGGTGGAAATACTGTGAGAAATCAAAGATGATCGTAAGAAATTAGTTGGTTATCTCGAGTTTGAAGGATCGAGGAAGGAAACACGAATGGAATGTTCGTGTTCGATCGACGAAAGGTTCGTTAAAAAATTGGATGGCGTTGGTACAATTATACGGATAAGCTACGGGCCTTATTTTTTGTTTTTTTGTTTTTTTTTTTTGTTTTGTTTTGTTATCTTTTCATTTTCTGTTTGTCTACGATACTATTTACAATCCTATATAACTTTAGCTCTACGATCGCACTTTTTTTTTTTGAATAATCGTCTCGCATATAGTTTTATCATTTTGTACATCGCAACAATATTTACAGATAATTTACAAATTACAATATGTTAAATATTATTCTATCTAGGCGAGATTAGTCTCTTAAAACGTAGGTAGGTTTGGATGTTCAGAGCGAAAGGAGAGATGATTCGGGATGGTAGGGGGAAAAGGATTGGGAAGATCAAATTTTGAATTCGAAAAATGCTTTTACTAAAAACTATCGAGTCTGCTTGCTCATCGCTAAGCGATATGTCCTTCTAATGGTGTCACATTTTTCAATATTTTTATTCTTAGATATATGTATATTTATATATAGACATATATATTATACAGATGTACAATATATATTATGTCTATATAATATATAATATATAGATAGTATATATAATATATATTATATGTAGATAATATATATTATATGTATATCTAATATATCTCTAACGCAATGAAGAAATGTTACAATAAATTAAATTATAGTTAACATGATACATTGTCGAATATAATTCGTTTTATTTTTTTTTAAAGTTATTTTTAATAATAAATTAAAAAAAAAATCTTCTGTAAGTATTAGATCTATGTGACACCATTTCTCGTTGTACGATATGTATGATTCCTTAATTAATCCGAGCATAACAATTCGAGAATCTTTCCGATCGTAGAATTCCTTGCGTCGTCGAGAGAGATTTGTTAAATCTTACGACAAAAATCGTACGCGATGGAGTTATCTCACAGTTTTATAGAAAGAATGGAATAGGAGAGAGAGAAAGAGGGATAAAGTGAGAGAAAGAGTGAAAAATGGAAGAACAGAACAAGAAATAAAGAGAATGAGAAAAAGATAGTGAGTGGAAAATAAAGAAGAAAGGAGATAGAAATAGAAAGGTTAATAGGAAAGGGGACATCGCGGTTGATCCGCCCTTATCTCTCGGCACGCAAAGTCCTCTTCCCATGATGATACCAGCCCTTCATCCATCGGAGTCTTACATCTCATAACATTATTTGCCATTTGACGAGAGTAGCGGACTGCCGGCGGTCGAGTAGCCTTGGCTGCATGTTGGCAACGCAAATGGATTCATGTTGAACGGTGAGCCGACCACCTCTCCTAATCCTACAACAGGGCCACTGTCGGTTATACGTTAGTATAATCGCCTCTTCCGTCATATATTTCATTTATACAGAAATTAATACGGTGTGTGTTTAACAATTAAAAAAAAAAAAAAAAACTAATTAAAAAAAGGAAAAAAATAAGAAATGAAATAAGAAACATAGGTGACAAAAATTACTAAGGAAGAAGAACGTGAGAGATATCATGAAAGGTATTAAAAAGATAGACGGATAGATAAATAGATTTAGACTCGAGCATCATTTTATATGACCATTTATGGAAATATGCACGTAAATGGGGTTTTATCCTTGAACCGAACCCGATGCTTCCCTTTCATTTTACTATTTTCAGCGATACTTTTTCTACGACTATATTTTTTTTTTTTTATTTCCTTTACCATTTGTTTGTATTTCTTTTCTATCTTTTTTTCTTTATTTTTTTTTTCTTTTCCTACGCATCGAGTTCATGGTCGTTCTAGTCTCGATATCGAAGTTCCATCGTACTTAGGGCACGATTCCATATGCAGACACGTGCCAACGAAACGATCATTCTAACGACTTCGATGACGTCCTAGATGTCGCCGAACGTTCGATATTCTATTAGACGATGTACGAAAAAGGCTCGTTATCTTGCTTGATATCGTTTTTCTAAGGTAGGTAGGTAAGTAAGCAATTATGGAGGAATCAAATTGGGCAGAAAAAGCGGTGCATATGTTTGAGATTTAATCTTATTTTCATTCGGACTTTTCATTCAGATGATGAAATCAAATGGATAATCAAGTGTAAATTTTGTTTAAACGAAAGATCGTAAATGAATGTACCTACATTCTCGAGTCTCGTCGTTCGTGCATGTCTCTCTGATAACTCTTTAATCTCAGCGCGTAGGGTAGTTGTGATGGTGATGGTGGTGGTGATGGTGGACGGTTAGCGGTTACTGGGCGGCTGTAGCGAGGTGGTGCTGTGTGGACCAGTGCGGTGGGACTGAGGTGGTCGGTGGTCGTACTACAGGGGCGAATGCACTCCCGTCCCCGGATGTATAGAATATGCCGTATTGTTCGTGCGCTAAAACGAAAATTCCACATAAGGAAAAAACCATAAAGAGAGAGAGAGAGAGAGAGAGAGAGACTGAGTGTATGAATGTATGAATGTGATCGATGTGTCCTATGTTTATGTGTGTATGCGTGTATGTATGTTTGTGTGTATATGAGTGCGTGCATGGGTGCTCTTGCTAATCGTGTAAAGTAAGATGATTAAGCGCAACATGCACGAGATCGAGGCATTTCAACGAGCAAAGCAAATCGAGAACTCGAGTTTTTGATTTATAAACGGGGTAAAAGTGAAGAAAAAAAGAAATAAAGAGGAAGATAAATAGAAAGAGTAAAGAAAAAAAGAAGAAGAAAAAAAAAAGAAAGAAAAACTACAAATAAAAAGATAACTTACGTGATGTGTATAAAGTCGGACTTCCAGTGTAGGGATTTGCAACGGAATAACTGCCGTTGGTACTGTGGCTGTGCGGTGTGCTAGCCGAACTTCCGCAGTAACCACCACCGGTTACAACCCCTCGCGGACTAGCGCTGCTGCTTTGTCTGTAAGCGTCGTTCGTACCCCCGACGCTACCACCTACGCTGCCCCCTACGCTCCCACCGCCCCCTCCGCCACCTGCCGTGGCTCCTGTCGTCACGGAACTACCGTCTAGAAACAGAAACCTGCCCGTCAGACGAACTCGTAAGTACATATATCTCATCGCTCCATTGTATGTCGCATGGCGGCTCGCTTTGATACGGGCCGACAATTTTTCCTTGACATGGTTTATATCGATACTGTTTATCATTAATCTGTTTTTCTTTCTTGTTTTTTTTTTTTTTTTTTTCTTAATTTACTTATAATTTTGTTCAATCCAATCATTTTGGTATAATAAAATTCTCGCGAACGTTATATTGTACATTCTATTAATTATATTTTTTTTTTCCATAATTCATTCAAGCGATATTCAACGTAAAACTTTATTAAAGAGTCGACGACAGTATCAATGAAAACTTTCGCAAAATTATGAAAGACGTCGGTGAAACCCCATGTTTATCAATTTTGTCAAATGGATCTATTGGATACTGTCTCGCGCTTGTCTTTATATCCTTTCTATCGAGCGACGAGTTATACATGGTGAAAAGTTGTTCAGAGTTTTTGCTACTCACCGTCCGTCCACTTGGCAGCACTACCATTTTCTTGCACCGTCACTGCAAGTTGTCCTGTGTACGAGTTGAACGCTGTCGCCGAACTCGAAGTCGGGGGCGCCGGTGGATGTCCCGCTCCTGGACTCCTCGACGCCCCCGTGATACCCGCGTTTCCGCTCCTTGGCATACTGTACAATGCTTCCGCCAAATCGGCAGCACGTTTTAAAATGATTTCTTTTGGCAATTTTTCCGGATCCCCTGGATGTCTTGGAATTAATTTTTGTAACCTTTGAAATCCGTAGTCGATCGTTGGCTCGTTTAATGCTGCAATTTGTCAACAAAAAAGAACACACGTGTTTTTTGTTTAATATATATATTTATTTTTTTGTTATTTATCTTTCCTTTTTCATTCTTAAGTAACACACTTACACACGTAAACGAATCGGCCAGGTGCTCCTTTACAAAATTGTTTACTTTTGTAAGATAGCGTAACTTCAACGACACCCGGTATTTCTCTATGCGGCGTCTGTACTTTGATCGCGCTTGGTGTAATTATCTGTAATGAACAAATTTACAAATAGGATCGTTGCGTCGGTCTGTCTAAACGAACAAAATGTTTTTGTATCGTTTGTCAAAGGGGCGTGTTCTTAGTGTTTTAAGAATTAAAAGATCTTAACCTCACTCCAAACCAGCATAGATCCGAAGACAACTTGAAGCCCATCGAAAAAGTTTTCGCCGATGATTATCACGGTAGCTCCACCCGTCGTCCAACCCTCGTTCGGTGATATCGCCTTTATACAGGGTGTTTGGAGAGGTAGAGGTTGATACAAACCTGTGAAAAAAGATATCAAACGTTAAAAAGTTTTGTTGTTTTAACATGGATAATAATTTGTACGAGATTATCACCTTTTCTGAGTTAGAGCGAAATGACGACGGACGAAATAAGAAGGAATGATCGTTTGCGGAAAGAAAAAGGAAAGAAAGAAAGAAAGAAAAAAGAAAAAAAAAACAGGGATAAAAGTGTCTAGAGAAAATCGTGGCTGCATCGAGGAATGGGATATGGAAAATTATCTGGATATTCTGTTTATTCGTTCGAGGCCAAGTGGCAGATATATTTCTCAGAGTCATGGGGGTGGGTGGTTCCGGACGTGGAAACGGAAAGGACGTACGGAGGAGAAAGGTAGAGAGGAAGAGAAATATATATAACTATATATATATATATATATATATA